CTCTCTGTTGCCATCCAGTGGAGAAGGACTGTGTGATAGGGAGATTTCCTCACCGGAAGGATCCAGTCCGTCAGATTCAGTCGGCATGAAATCATGTTGTCTCCTCCAAAGAATTACTAAAGCTTCCAGAATGTCCTCTCTCCTTCCACCACCCCCCCCCCCCCCCATTAGCTGCTTTTGTTTGTCTTTGAGATAACGGGGTCTTGGCTGGCCTCTCCTTGCTGACTGAAAAACTCAATACTCGAAAAAGAACAACTTTTGTGGCACTTGAACAAAATCTGCCGTTTCCTTAATTGGCTTAAAAGACAGGCAAGAGGGCTGTGGAGGGAGAATAAACAAGAACGAGGGAGAGAGCGGGAGACTCTGGCTTCGTCTGAGTGCCAAATGGTAAATAAGCCCTGTTTATGGGCTCCTTTGGTCTCAGCGCTACAAAGGCTTCTCTAATTGAGGGAGGAAGCAGACAAAAAGACAGTTTTAAGTGACATTCGATTCTTCCTGAGGAATGCTAAGGTTTGTGGTTGATCTGGAGAGCAGATAGTAGGGATTCTCCAGTCACTCTTCCAACCCAGAATGGAGTGTTTAGGAATTTTTTCTTGCAGCACACGCCTGGTGTTTCCCTCAGTGGGTTTTCCGTTCTGTAAGCAGCTGGTACAAGCCCAGGAGCCAGGGTCTGAAACCGCATCTAGCTGCCCATCATGTCTACACCAGACAGGTCCCCCCAGGTCAGCTGGGAATGGCCCCGGAGGTGTGAGAGCTTTACGATACGTTGCAGGTAGTTTCAAACCACATATCCCTGAACCCTGAGTTGCGCTGGGGTCCCACAAATGTTTGATGCAAGGACCTTTAAAAACTATTTTTACCTTTCAAACAAGGGAAACACAAGCTCAAATGTCTTCTATGTCAAATTTTAACAGATCAGAACAGCAACAAGTTAACTCGTGTGCCTGGACTTTTTAAACACCTCAGCCTGGGGCACCTGGGTGGCTCAGTCAATTGAGTGACCAACTTTTGGATTCAGCTCAGGTCATGATCTCATGGTTCATGAGATCGAGCCCCACGTCCGGCTCTGTGCTGACAGCACGGAGCCCGATTGGGATTCTCTCTCTCCTTCTCTCTCTGCCCTTCCCCTGCCCCTTCTCTCTCTCTCTCTCTCGCTCGCTCAAAATAGATAAATATTTAAAAACCTACGCCTATGAGTGTCTCCTCGACAAAACTCGTGGTAACCTCACATTACAAATAGTTTTAACGTTTTTTTAATGCATTCTGGATGCTTTTTATTTAAGTTCTCTCTCTGTGATAAATGATATTAACAGATGTTAAATATTGGTAGTAATTCAATTTAATTTTTGTTTTAAATCCAACTATTCCTCTTTTGGGCTTTGCATCAATTTATTTGAAGAGTATCTAGAGATTGCAATATGAGCTAATTTAAAACGGTTACCATTTGCAAATACTTATCTGGATGAATTAGAATTTTCCCTATATTGTTTTAACCGAACAAAACAAATGCTATACTAATAAAGCCAGGATAATGTTTATCAGCAGATTTCATTAACAAATACAGTAGATTTCTATTGTCGGAAAAAGTATATACAAAACAGCGTAAGCTTTGGCGTCTCTTATGGGCTGAACTGTACCCCTCTCGCCCCCACCATTCATATGTTGAAGTTCTAACACGAGTAGCTTAGGATATAGCCATATTTGGAGATAAAGTTTTTAAAGAGGTCATTAAGTTCAAATCAGGCCGTGGGGGTGGGGTCCCAATCCAATCTGACTTTCATCCTTATAAGACGAGGGGATGTGGACACGCAAAGAGATACCAGAGATGTGTGCCCACAGAGGAGGGGCTGTGTATAAAGACACAAGGAGAAGGGGCGCCTGGGTGGCTCAGTCGGTTAAGCGTCCGACTTCAGCTCAGGTCACGATCTCGCGGTCCGTGAGTTCGAGCCCCGCGTCGGGCTCTGTGCTGACCGCTCAGAGCCTGGAGCCTGTTTCAGATTCTGTGTCTCCCTCTCTCTGACCCTCCCCCGTTCATGCTCTGTCTCTGTCTCAAAAATAAATAAACGTTAAAAAAATTAAAAAAAAAAAAAAAAAGACACAAGGAGAAGCCAGCCATCTGCAAGCCAGGAGAAAGGCCACAGGAGAAACCAAACATACCAATACCTTGGTCTCAGATGGCTAAACTGCAGAACTGAGAATATAAATGTCTGTTGTCAAAGCCACTCACTCGGTGGCATTTTAGTCAGGCAGCCTGAGCTGACTAATACCGAGCTAAAAACAACGAAGTCTGAAATTTCCATTCCGCTACATGGTCTTTTTTTTTTTTTTTAATAGCTTATTGAGATATAATTTACAAACATAGATTGTATCTGTTTTAAGTTGTATAATCCAATGGTTTTTAGTGTATTTACAGAGTTGTGCAGCCCTCATCACTCTACCTTTGTAATCCTGAGGAAGACACTTAACTTCTCCAGGCCTTCATTTCTTCCTCTGTAAAATGGGGCTAATACTGTCTACACGGGTTTACTTGATGATTTAATGACATAACATGAAGCATGTGACACGTGTTCCTTCTTCCCTCGTTGTTGGTGAATTTGGACCCTAACCCAATCAAGTCTCAAATCCTTGATACTTAACGGCTCCAACTTTCCTATCAAAGCTCCTTGCACAACTTGGCATTGTAACGCTTTTCACTCCTGCTTACGACCTCCTATCCCAAGGGTGTAATAGTTAGCCATGGGTCCCCAAATACAGTCTTCTGTTGTGTGGTAGGCAGCCACTAAGGTGGCCACCAAAGTTTCTGCCTCCCGGAATGCATGTCCCTGTGTAATTCCCTTTCCTTGAGTTTTAGATGGACCTAGTGACTCACTCTTAATGAACAGAACACAGCAGAAATAATGGGATGTCCCTTCTGAGATTAGGTGACCAAAAGCCGGGGGCTTCCTTCTTGGGTATCCTCTCTGGCTCTCTCACTTACCCACTTACCCACAGCTTCCATGTTTTGAGCTTCCCTGTGGAGAGCCCACATGGCAAAAAAACTTCTGTCTCTAACTAGCTGCCCGTAGGGACCTACGCCCTGCCAACAGCCAGGTGCATGAGCTTGGATGATCCTTCCCCAGTCATGTCTTGAGATGATCACAGCCCTGATCTATGCCTTCATTGGAGCCTGAGGAGAGACCCTGAGCCAGAAATCCCCAGCTAAGCTGCACCAGGATTCTTGACTCACAGAACCTGAGACAATAAACGTTTGCTTTTTTCAGTTACTTAAAGGAGTAAGTTACGGGGTAATTTTTTACACAACAGTTCGGAACCAATACACCCACCTTCAGTGCTGTAGAAGGAAAAGGGTCCAAACCAGGCTGACCCCTTTGGAAAAGATCCTACTCTGCTCAATGCCCAGCACACTGTCCGTGGTCAAATAACTACCAAGTAACATCAGCCCACACTTGGTCTTTACAGATTTGCTAACAGGGTATCTGGGTGGCTGGGCTGGTGAAGTGTCTGACTCTTGATCTCAGCTCAGGTCTTGGCCTCAGGGCCATGAGTTCAATCCCCATGTTAGGCTCCACGCTGGCTATGAAGCCTACTTAAAAAAGGGAGAGAGGGAGAGAAATTTGCTAAAAATTTCAGTTGTTTATGGATGCTACCTCTTCAGGTGTCCTCATGTCTCCCGGGAGGGGCTTACTACCCTCCAACAATGGAATTCAGTTGGGTTGCTCTATGACCTCAGCTCTCTAATAAGCTCAAAAAAAAGGTCATGATTTTATCAATTATCCAGCTTTTTCTCATTGTCAGGCCAGAAGCAATGTTCTCTGTGGCCATCTACATCTTAGGTAGAAGTGGAGCCCCAGACTGGGTTTGAGTTTTGATTTCTCTCTTCCTTTCCTTCTGCCCAGATACTGTGACCCAAAAAAGCCCACTTGACCAATAAGACAAGGAGGCCTGGATTCACTTTGAGTCTGAGGTCCATGACTGACTGGCCCCACATATTCCATTTACCTCTAAAAGCAGATGTGCCTACAGATCTGGAGGCAAGAAAAGGGAGTTGCCCTAGCAATGGGATTTAAAGACCATCAAGGCTGACCTTCAACTACTCTTAAATTCCCGCCGTTGAGTCTGCGAACCAGTCTGTTGAAGGCAGGCCAACACAGGAAAAAATAACAAACCTGGATGTAGGAGCTTTGGGTTTTTGTCTAGTTATGCACTAATTGGGCAATGTGTCTGGGGCAATTCACTTCAATTATCGGTGAATTACTTTTCTTATCCATTAAAGAAGAACCTAAATGGTAGTCCTTATGACAATATAACAATTAAATTCTGGGGTGCCTGGGTGGCTTATTCAGTTGAGCACCTGACTCTCGATTTTGGCTCAGATCATGATCCTAGGGTCGTGGGATCGAGTCCCACATCAGGCTCTATGCTGAGTGTAAAGCCTGCTTGAGATTCTCTCTCTTTCTGCCCCTCTCCCCCACTATCTCTCTCTCTCTCTCATAAAAAAAAGATTTAAATTCCAAATTTAGCGAAAAGAGGCTTCTTTTCTTCCCTGATTTGCATTTGTATTACTCTGGGCTTCTTCGGAAGATTTTATTGTTTTCTTGGACAACAAGGTCAAGAACTGCAATAACTATTTTTCTTAGATCTGCACAATTCCCATGTTTTTCCATTTTTTAAAAAAATAATTTCCCTGTTCCCCCCATCCCCCAACACATACACACAATCCAGAGGAATGGACACGTGGCCTGGACCCAGCCAATCCTAGTACTTCAATCCCTCAGCAAACAATGTTTGGTCTAAGAAATGGACATAGGGGAGCCCTTCTCTTGGATTACCATAAAGATTCTGGAGAAGGTTTGTTTTTTTTTTTTTAATTTGTTGATGTTTATTCATTTTTGAAAGAGAGAGACAGAGCACAAGCAGGGGTGGGGCAGAGAGAGAGGGGGGGGACACAGAATCGGAAGCAGGCTCCAGGCTCTGAAATGTCAGCACAGAGCCCGACACAGGGCTCCAACTCACGAACTGTGAGATCGCGGCCTGAGCCGAAGTCGGATGCTTAACCGACTGAGCCACCCAGGCGCCCTTGGAGAAGGTGGTTTAACAGCGGTGTTTGCTAACCCAGAAGAATGTGCATTTAGGGATGCTGGCTATCGCACAGAGGAAACGTTTCTCAGAAAGAAGCCAAGATGAGAAAAAGAGAAAGAAAGAAAGAAAGAAAGAAAGAAAGAAAGAAAGAAAGAGAGAGAGAGAGAGAGAAAGAAAGAAAGAAAGAAAGAAAGAAAGAAAGAAAGAAAGAGAAATTGAAAAGTCTCTGGTAGGGTTGTATTGCAGTTCTGATTTCTAAGACTCCGATCTCTGCAGCTCTTCTTTAGATTCTGTGATAAACCTGGTATCTTTCCCAGGTATGTGAGTTGGTAAAGATGGTTTGAGTTGAGTTTCAGTCACGCGCAAGTCAAACAATCCTGATAAATACAGAGATCGAGAAGGTGTGGGGGTAATTAAAGCCCTGGCTGGAAGGCTTCAGACCAAAGGGAGGGAACTCTGCAAGGCAGAGGATCCGGGGGCCCCAGGCAAAGCATCCAACTTGATTCCTTTCCAAATGTACATGGCTACAGATTGCCAACGACTTCTTGGAAGGTGGAGAAAGAACATAGGCTTATTTTATGCAAGATCCCAAACTCTCAGGCGGCAGGGTGACCTGGGCATGGTTTCTTTCAAGCTGCATTTGTCTGTGAAAACCAATTGGTAAAGCAACCTGTAACCATTGAAGTGACTAGCTAACAGAGTAACCTGCGATGTCTGTAATTTGGGCAGCTCCTGCTTTTCAAGTGCAATGTGGCTCCGGAGACAATATCATTGATTAGATTGTCATGTTACAAAATCCCAAGTGCGAGTGCGCTCAGCGGTGGCATTGTGTTAGAGGGGAAAGCGTGGGGGTTGGAAAAGCATTAAAAGCGGAGTCAGACATCATACTCTCTCACCCAATCCCCACTATGTGCAAGGGTGAAGGGTGTCACCTCAGTGTTTGAGCCATGAGACTCTAACAGCTCCTATGGGGATAGAGCCAATAGCCTTGGCCTTGGTCTCATTAGTACCAAGCTCTAGCCAGCTGAATTAATCATAGAAATGAACACTTGTCCATGTAAGACACGTTTTCCCAGGGCACTTAAGCTCTGGGTTTAAAGGGAAGTTACATGAATAGTTGCAATCCATATTTTGCTGAGTTTTTCTACTCTGCTTGCTCTAATGGAATATCCAACTTCCTAACAAGCTCCCCAGAATTATGTCTGGGACCTCTTGAGGGGATTTTGCCATGCACAGAAATAAGCCCTGACGGCTCTAGTGTGGAGTTCACCTCCAAACTCTTTTTTTCCATCCTCCTTCTCCATCACCAAAAGGATTGCCATTGTGTGCTTTGGACACCGGCAATGCCCCCAACACCATACTCCACAGATGTAAAGAAAAATCTTCCTCTAATTCCTAACACCCCACTACAGGAACCACTAGTGCACCGTGTAAGCACGTGCACACAACTTTGACCTTGTCAAAGTGATCCCACAGAAGTGCTGTGCTACACCCCAAATCTTAAAGGGACCCTTTATACAGAGTGCCATTTTCCGTTCCCATATAGAGTTCTTTTATTTCCCAAGGACCCAGGGGAATCCATGGGGTTCCACGGGGAACCAGGCTCCAAAACAGCCCCGTGCCTCCCCGCCTGAGCGCGCCCTTCACCTGCGAACACGCTTCTCCCTGCGGTCATCCAAAGCATACTCCAGGGGGGGTCCGTGGTCAATCCATAGTTCGCCAGCTTTGGGCTTCACTTTGATGTTTTGGAGGCATGTGCGTAATTTCTACTTTTGCATAGCGGGACAGACAATACAGCAAATGCTCTTGAGCTCAGGAATGTTTGTGGAGGAAGACTCATTGCCTCAGCTCACCTTAAAGAAGGGGTCACAGTCCAGCATGCCTCACAGTAGAGTGGAGAAGATGAATTGATAGAGATCAACTTAAGATGACAGGCTGGAATTTATTTATTTTTCTCTGTTCCTTGCCTGACATCTTACGGAGCTCTGTAGGAACCACTGAAATACAAAGTCTAGCTGCAAAGCCAAAGAAACCAAGTGGGTTGGGACTACATACAAGCCACCATCTAGGGAGGTCAGTCTTTAACAGAGAGTGCTACAAGTTCTTGGACTACGTGGTAACTTTTCAGATTCAAATTCAAATCCAACTCTTCAGTACCGAGGCCCCCTTATTTTTCTAATCCTGTGTTAGGAACTTGCTTCTACATTGTCCCATTTAATCTCCATGATTAAACTGTGCTATAGCTATGATACTTGAAACAAACTATATTGCTTTGCCATTTGTCCTGTAAGTAATGCATGTTCACTCTAAAGCAAAAAAAACCAACCATGAAAAAGATAAAAGGAGACATTTTAAAATTATTTATCATTCCTGGGGCACCTGGCTGGCTCAGTCGGTTAAGCATCCAACTTTGGCTCAGGTCATGATCTCATGGTCCATGGGTTTGAACCCTGCGTCAGGCTCTGTGCTGACTGCTCAGAGCCTGAAACCTGCTTCAGATCCTACGTGTCTCGCTCTCTCTGTCCCTCCCCAGCTCGTGTTCTGTCTCTCTCTCTCTCAAAAATAAACATTACAAAAATTTTTAAATAAAAATAAAAATATCTATCATTCCTACGCCTAGAGAAAAGTGTTTTTAATACTTTGATATACATGATATATATTATTCTACCCTATCTTCCTGTGCATCTATAACATGTAACTTTATGATATAATTTTAAGCTACTTTTTTTTCAGAACAAGATAATAGTGAATATTTTTCCTTGACATTAAATATAATTTTTTTCTACCACATGCTAAAGTTACACGAAGTTCCATCATACACCCATACCATGATACATTTAACTGATTCCCCATTGTTGGAAACTTAAGCTGTGCCCAATTTTTAGTTATTATAAAGGTGCTTTGATCAACATTCTAAACGCAAATCTTTGCACATAGCCTTGATTATTCCTTTCAGACTGATTCCTACAAGTAGAATTTATGGGTCACAGCACAGTACAATTTCAAGGCTTTTCTTCTGTATTTCCAAATGTCCCTCTGGAAAAGTTGCAGCAATTTACATGGCCACAAGTGGTATTAAAAAAAAAAATACTTATTTCCCTGCAACACTGCCAGCATTTTTATTTTTATCTTCGCCAATTTTTTTGGAAGAAAAATTAACTTTCAGTTGTTTAAATGTGCAACTCTTGACATTTACCAGGGAGGTTCGATATGTTTTTCATGGGTTCACTGGCCATTTATTTACATTTCTTCTTATGTAAAGTGATGTTCATTTCTTTTGCCTGTTTTCTATTAACTTGTTCCTCTTTTTCTTGTTGATTTCTAAATGCTTTATGAAATCTGCCATATGCATCATAAATATCTTGTGATTAACTCTTTCATAGGTACCAAAAGTATGGTCTTCCCGTTTGCTTTTGAATATTATTTAGTATTTGGTATATATAAGTGATCATGATAAATTTTTACGGAATCAAATTATTCCATATTTTTCTTTATGGTTTTTGCACTTCCCACACACTTAGAAAGGCCTCCCAAGATCATTTTAAACATGACCTCACCATTTTTTAAAACTGTGAGATTTTTTTTTTTTTCACATTTTAAGCTTTACTTTGGGTGTGGTCTGAAGCAGAAACCTACCTTTATTAAATGGCTAGTCATGATCACAGAATCCATTCTCTTCCCACTGACCTGGAAGGTCAGTGTGATCCCATGAAAAAAATCCGGTTATACTGGGAAGCTCTTTCTATGCCATTTTGTTGATTTCACACTGAGTGTCTCTCATCATTCTCGAGTCCTGCCTTTTCCATTTATCCTGCGCGACCACTGGGAGCTGACTCCTTTTCTACACAAAATGAAGACAAGTCACCTGCTTTGAGATCTCCTTGCAAAGCAAAGAGCGAACATAATGATTAACCGCGGATATTTTTAAATCTAAGGGTGTCATTTCAAAGGAAACCATTCCTAAAGAAATGGACTTTAATCCCAGTGTTTTTGTTACTATTAGCCATTAGCAACTGAAAGGGGGTGGGGTGAAGTCCTGCTAAAACACTTGTCTCTCTCTCTCCGTTAACCCTTGAGTTACGCGGAAATGCAGTTAAAGTCAGGTGGGAGTTGGCCAGAATAGCATGCTGTACAAGTCACATATACGAAGCAGAGAGCAGTGACCTATCCATATGGCCATTTTCATCTGTTGCCACCCCTTTCAAATGGCAGAGAAAGAAGCCACTTATGATATTGGGTAGTGTAAATAGGCCTTTGACCCTGCACCAAAGACCTCTATCACTCACTGTTTTGAATCTGTTTCTGGTCAACTCAGTTGGCCCAAATGCAGCTCTAATGAGACTGAGGTCACGGGTTCAATACCAGTGTGGTCTAATTACCAATAAGTCAACTGTTTCAGGGTCTCCGTTTGTATTTCTAAACCAAGCCAGCCATTTTGCATATGCCCAGCTTTGGTCACTCAGGGGACAAGGTGAGAGAGCACAGATAAATCAGAACACATCTCCCACCGTACCGGGACCTGCTCTCGATGCCCTGCTGTTGGCAGGTCGGTAGCAGGATTTTGGATATGAGCGAGGAGAGCACATTTTTATATTGGAACGACAGCCATCAGTAATTGGAATATTCTCCACCCCACCCTGCCGAGGATAACTCCCCTCTCAGAGGACTTATTATTCTTATTTAGAGGACAGAGATTGGGGGGTGGGGGGGGGTGGGGGGTGAAATCCGGTGCTTTAAGAGGAATGTTTCAGTAGCCACTGATACCTACGGGGAATATCAAAAAATTAAATGGAGAGGCCACCCTCCTCTTTAATTTCATTATGAAGTAAATAAAACATGTTAAAGACCACTTGGAAAACAAGCAAAGGAAGACAACATCCAATCTCAGCTACACAACACGGGCACGATTAGACATTCTAGACGTTACTTTTCATGATCCTTTCAACGCCTTGCACAAATAGCACTTTCCAGGAGGAATAAACATTTTTCGAGAGAATGCGACTCACCTACCATCTCTAACAAAGCTATTATTTTCACTTTTCCCTGAAAGGCTTCCAGCCCTCACCCACAGAAGCACTGTGTTCCGAGTGACCCCTTCTAAATGCACAGGCCCTCAAGGGTGTCGACCCATCAACCCCGCCAAAGGCCCATAATCAAAATCTCCCAGGAAATAGAAGACGCCCCAGTATTCCCGAGGACGCTTACACTTCACACACTAAAGAAGTTTCTAATCACAAGTATTCAGCACGTTGTCATTTGGAAGACATCAAGGGGGCGGGGGGGGGAGGTTGCGGGGGGGCGGGTAAGAAATAAGTCCTCCTGCCTCATGCGACTGTGCAGAATTGGCGTCTCCCCTTTAGAACGTACTGTAATTTCTCATGGAAACACTTTGTGGAAAGCCAGTCATATATCGTAGCCCCTAAGTATGAAACCACGGGTCCCTCCAACCACACGAAACAGCTGTGCCCTCAGAGGAAAGGTCATCTGCTGCAGTCGTGTTTCTTTTTACTTTTAAAGAAATGTCAGGCCATGTTTTATGCGGTCCTTATGACAGGGTGCTGTTTATTGTATCACTAAGCTGCCATAACTTCAGGACGAGGAAACTGCCTTTATTTGGAGAGTATATATCTTTCTGACTTGCAGGAAAGATGAAAATTAAGAACGGCCCTTTTTCGGAGTGGGTCTAAGTATTCTTTGACAGTCTCCTACAATATTTCAAACATCTTCGTCAGACCCATAAAACCTGATGCTGGCCTCACTCAGCCCAGCTGAAGCTAGGTCGGAGTTAGGACATTGATCGCAAGTGTGGTGTGAATGCTGCCACTGGGCAGATGTTTTTGACCAAGGATTTTAAACCAGCTTGCTTGGTGACCCCAAGGACAATGAAGCGTACATAAAGAGATCACCCGGCGTTAGGCGGTGATAGTGATACCTAATGCTTATCATGTGCCCAGCTCTGTGCCAAGCATTCTACGTGCGTGATCTCAATTTGCCCTCGCATCTGCGAGGACACCATCAATACTCCTGTGATACGGATAAGAAAGCGAAGATAGAGAGAAACCAAGGGGTTCCTGGGTGGCTCAGTCCGTTGGGCGTCCGACTCTTTGTTTTCGGCTCAAGTCATGATCTCACAGGTCACGGGACTGAGCCCCACGTTGGGCTGTGCCCTGACCGCGTGGAATCTGCTTGGGATACTCTCTCTCTCTCTCTCTCTCTCTCTCTCTCTCTCTCTCTGTGCCCCTCCCCCATTGGTGCCCACTCTCTCTTTCTCTCTTTCTCTGTCTCAGAATAAATAAATAAAACATTTTTTTAGAAAAAAGAAAGAAGAAAGAAGAAAGGAAGGAAGAAAGAAAGAAAGAAAGAAAGAAAAGGAGGAAGAAAGAAAGAAACAAAGAAAGAAAGAAAGAAAGAAAAGGAGGAAGAAAGAAAGAAAGAAACAAAGAAAGAAACCAAGCAACTTGCCCCAAGGTCACACGCTGTAAAGCAAGGGTGCCAGGACTTAAACTCAGACCTCATCACTCTGAGCCACACATGTAATTGACGTATGTTGGTCACATGATGTTCCCCAGGCACTGTGGTCCCACATAACAATGACTGTCTCCACAGTCCTGGCATGTTACTCTTATTATCGAAACTGTATCAGAGAACATAGGTCCCCTCCACATGGTAACTCAACCGTGTGACAGCTTGCATTTGGAATCAGTTCTGTGTGACCTCCAACTCCCTACTCTGATGTCTACGTTCTTGACGTGGAGAGCTTTCTAGAGGTGAGAAGGAAAGGGAAGGGGAAACGCTTTCAAGAACCCCCTTCAGAACTTGACTGTCTAAGGACCAGTTGGCGAGGGAATGTGACAAAGCCACTCGAGAGTTCTGTTTGAAATCCTTGCCAAATTCCGTTTCAGTGGGTTTTTAGTCTAGAGCAGGTGATTTTTCAGGAACGCCAAGCTGCTTCAGAAATCAGCTTGGGTCTGGACCAAGCTTATGATGGACAAGTGGTTGCTTAACTAGACGCAACCTGGTCGTGTAAGTTAGTCAAGCAGTACTTTGCCCGGGATCGCTCAGCTGGGTGTGGTAGGCATTCGGGCAAGTCTCCTGCCAATCACAAGTTCTCTTGGGGGATGGGGACCCCATGAGGTTCAGATCAAGTAGGTGAGGAGCCTGTGAAATCTTTTTCTGCTTAGATTAAAGCCACAAGGCAGGCCAACAGCTGACGTACACATTTTACTTTCTCTCCCTCCCCTCAGGTTACCCCCCACCCCACATTCCCCTCCCTTGCCCTTGCTCCCTCTCTTCTCCGTCCTTCCTCAGCCACCCTGAGATGGTGGGAAATCACTGGATAGGTGGGCTGGCTTCCAGCCCTTGCTCTGACACTCACTAGCTTTGTAACTCTAGACACGCTGCTTAACCTATGTCTTTCGACCTCATTGCTTGATTCTTTTTTTCCCCCAGCGGATTTGTATTAAATGCCAAATGAAATGCTCGTATTTCATCAGCAACATGGGGAGTTACGCCCAGTGGACTCTTCAGTCCTTTCTAGGTTTAAAATGCTGTGACTCTCCCTCTGCTATGATGCTCCCTTCCTTTTCTTTACCATCTTCTTCCTTCCTTCTGTATACTTCCTTCCTCTGTAACCTTGTTCCAGTCCACCTCTGAGGCTCTCTCTGACACCGAAGCAAAGAGACAAAGATAGAGGAGAGAAATTCATAGATGGAGGGACTTTCCTTCCTTCTGTCCTTCCTTCCTTCCTTCCTTCCTTCCTTCCTTCCTTCCTTCCTCCCTCCCTTCTTTCCTTCCTTCCTTCCTTCCTTCCTCCCTCCCTTCCTTCCTTCCTTCCTTCCTTCCTTCCTTCCTCCCTCCCTCCCTTCTTTCCTTCCTTCCTTCCTTCCTTCCTTCCTTCTTAAGGAAGGACCCCATGGCACTTTTCTTTGGCTTTGGGGGGCCTAAAGAAACCTCCCTTAATTCATTTGTTCATTCAGGCAAACTTTCTGAGAGTCTACAAGTACCAGCATTTTATTAGGCATGGTGATGATAATGACCACCAATGGCATCTGGAAAATATTTGCTCACTCTGATATGCAAACCATGGTTCCTTGGGGGAATCCAAGGAGCCGATGCACATTATAATCACTTGCCAATACAGGGATGCCCAAACCAAGCACATGGACGGCCTTAAAAGTGACAGCCTCAGAAGCCCATTGGAATAAAGACTTCCCGAAGATGTGATTCCAATGGCCTGCCTGACCATTGGCAAGTGCCAGCTCTGTGTGTCTAAGGCACCTAGCTCTCCTGCTTGGAAATTCCACAGGGCTTGAGGAATAGTTACACCAGTGCTGCCCAACAGAACTCTAGGATCACGGGAATGTCCTACATCTCTGCTGTCCGATAGCCACACGTAGCTAGTGGCTACTACACGGGGCAGCACAGATACAGAACATTACAAGCTCATAAGAAAGGACGTAGGACCCCCCCGGACCTGATAAAGCAAATGTGTGCAATGTACGTCAGATGATATTGTATCAGATGATGGGGAGTTACGAGTCATCAAACCCTGACTTGTGGGATTTTCAAGAAGAAAAGTGCCAAAAACAAGAAGGGAGAAATGTTAGTCTTCAATAGTTTCCAGTGACCCTGGCACATAGTAGGTCTCAGAAACTTCACTGGATGGATGAATGGTTGCTACTTATTCTGACTGGGCTGTTGTGGTTTTTAGAAAGAACAGACGCCCATGCACATTAGCTTAAGCAAATGATGGCAGTGGTTGTAGAAAAGCTCTACTTGTTTTACACGGGGGGGTAGGAACTTTCAGACCTCCAAAATCCGCTAAAGAGAGCTAGGTCTCACAGCGATTGGGTGGCTCTGGAATATGCCTTCACAACT